ATGATTTAACAGCTAAAGATCGAACTGAAAGTAGTATGTCTTAATGTACAAAGAGTATTTTAAATTAATGACCAAAAAAATGTGTCGTTGGGCTAGCTGTATTTTAGATGTCCGAGAGGGTCTGAACCCACGTGGAACAAAATGGAGGACTACAGCATCACTGTGAAAACATAGTGTATTTTCATGATTTTCTTTTAACGTAACTGATCTTGTGACGGTAATTTTAGTTCAACTTCGACATATGTCATGGCTTCTTCTTCAGACGTACTTCTAAAGTCAAAGTAAGTTTTTATAAGGATTTTTGCGTCCAGTTTGAAATGAACATTGATGGTATCCATGTGCTTGACAATGTTTGTTACAGTTATGAAGTTTCTTCAAAGATCGAAGCGTTCTACACTGGCGGGAAAGCTCAGGTACGCAAAAAAAATCAGATACGATGACGATGTGTATTGAATATTGTGAATATTTGTGTTATTTTACGGCTATGCACTTCAAACTATGTACAAGAAGACGTAAGCTTATTTCACTATCATCATTGGTTTCATGTTTGTAGTTCTCTGCAGATGAGCAATATGTTTTCTGTCTGTGTGCTGAAAAAGTTCAAGTAGTGAATGTTGACAGTGGAAAGATTTTCCAATCTCTTGAAGAGGTATGACAGTTTTAAACCCGTACAGCATTTTCTATTCTTCACGAATTCGAAAATATTCGATGATTTGCCGCCTATAGTAACCTTACCTGACACATGACATCAGTACACAAATACAACTGCAACTCTTCATATTGTACTAGAGGATTTTGTATGCTGCAAAAAGCAGCTAACTGTCACGCTGTGGCCTGCCATGCAGAAATAGCGCTGCGCGGATATACTAAAAATAGATTTGAGAGATGAGACTCCCCACGGAGATTCGGACAAACAAGAGGTCAAGTTTGTAGTGAATGTATGTAGCGCGACCATGTAACTTTCAATTTTATTTAGATTTCTCTGGATTTTTTATCAATATGATCGGAACAAAGCACTGGCGTTCGGGCAGATGCAATACAGATTCAGGATATACAGATAGAATGCCTCAGTCTCTCAAAGAATTTAAGAAAATTGAGTAAGAAAGTATTTATACCGTTCTTCAAGCCTTCTCATGACCTCGAACCATGCCTACAATGGATCAATTCTTGTTCTTGTACACATGTAGTCCAACAACATCAATAAAACGGTAACAACATGGCTGCATCAGCCAAGCACAGATACTTAACACGGTTCGCATGAAGCGTGTATTACCGCTCCTCTATTGTATGGATAAAGACTAATACATTACGAGGCAAGTTAGTTTCATAATAATGGTCGCTCTTGTCTGTTGCCCTTGTTACATCACACAAAACGTGAATCGATATGTTTTCGTCCGTTTTAAAAGGTTTGTCCGTCATAAGTCCAAGTCCTTCATCCTCGAGCGTATAGTTAGACTTATAGATAGTTTATTAAACAAAGATAAATCGCAGCCAAAGAGCTGAATTCGGTTATTTACTAAGTCATGTAAACAAAAACTATTAAAAAAACTGAGTCCAACATACAGTTCATATATTGATATGGAAGCAATTAGATCGTCAGAGACGGCACATGGCCAGGATGAACGAGTTCCTATACAGTCTCTTAATGCGAGCAACCAAGTCAACTCGCTTTCCTGGCACTTTTTGACCTCGACATCTCAACTAGCGTTTTAATTGCTTGACAGCATAGTTGTCTGGATTATTTTGGAGCTTTGAACCAGGAAAAGCGTCATTTTCTGTCAAAACGTCTGCATTTTGGAGCAAGTTTAACGAGGCGCCTGAAAATTCCACATACATTTCTCTTGTATTGACCTCAACGTTTGTCCGAATGCAAGCGGGGGGTCAAAATCTGTGACGTAATATCCGCGCTGCGCTATTGTGATGTCTTCTTGATCAGTATTTTCATTTGGTATCAATGCCAGGCAAGGTTCTGTGACTGTGTCGTGTTGTGTCCATTACGTGATCTGTACCGACACACAGTTATACAAATCCCCTACAAGTATGTCAAACATTCCTGTAAGCAAGTTACATGTAAGAATTATCACACCTACGTGTAATCACCTAATAATTYTATTGTTTGCTTCATTAAAATATAAAAAAGAAAACAAAAATAAAAAAAAGCCATCTACTGTTGTATTCCTTTTTATGCATTCTTTGAAAATATAGTGATACGACTTGTTTGGCTGAGGAAAAGACGCAGTTCTGTACAATTGATCTTTGGTTGTTTATTTCCAGGATGGTGATGTCATTTCATGCTTTGCTTGTTCTCCTGATGATCAGGTAATCAATTRATATATTCAGAATGAAATACTAGGCATTAGAACTGAGTAAGATGTAATTTAAGTAGAGGTAGTGAGAATGACTGTTTTCTGCTCTGAGTTGGACACCTGAGGACTGCAGGGGACAGTCAAGCTTGAGCTTTGACAGACATTATGTCCACCTGCTCATCTGCCATTATGTTTTGCCCTTCAACAGTGTTTAGTGACAGCAAGCAAGAACATGTTATTAAGACAGTGGGATTGGAAAACTGGAACACAGACAAAAACATGGAAGGTAAAAAAGTAGCATAATGACTTTACGTCTTTTAAGAAACTATATAAATGAACTATATGAAGTACGAAAGTTGTAATTCACCGAGATGTATATTAACCCTACAAGAGGTATACATGTACCATGTAAAAACGTTACTGTTCATGACTTACGCTCAGAATTACAATTTCTCTGTGTTGACAAGCTTGTACATGTAGTACAATTTGATCAATTTTTCTGGGTTTAAAAGCTTAGGCCTAAAATCTTATTCAGACTATTTCCTGATTTTCACAGGCTGTCCATGTTGCTCCTATAGCAAGTATGGTCTTTGATTCTTCATCAACTCTTCTTGCAACAGGTACCATCATGTTCTCCATGTAGTAGATCTCAATGATACATACCAACAAATTATATTGTAATACTGCAAACAGGAAAAGTGAGATTTGGACTTTGCATTCCTAAGCATACATGCCCCCTTGAGATAAAGCAACACTTGATTTAGTATTCTAACTTAAAGAAAGGAATTACATTTGTTCGGGTTTGGTTTTTTGGTATTAAAATATTTTAGCTGAATAAAGGGTAGACCTGAAATAAGCCAGTCGTGTTTCTTTCCAATGAAATTAAACAATACTCCAGTTTCCACAAACAATTTTTTTCCAGATGTAATAACTCTCTTACCTGATTTTAAAGTACTTTTACATGTATTTGTACTTACTGTCTTTTTCTAATGTTTTTTTTAGGTTCAAGTGATAGTACAATCAAAGTATGGGACATTATCAAACAGTATTACACTCACAATCTCAAGGGTTCTCATGGTGTTGTAAGGTAATTATATTGTTACTGTTAATAATCATTAAACCCATCTGCACTCAGATGAGTATGGAATAAGGTGCCTAAAGTGGTCATGTCGGCTCGCCGCCATACATGGCAACCCAAACACTGTCTGCCACCTGGAACTTGTCACATTGACATTGTCAAAGGAGAATACTTACCTATCCTTTCTTACGAATAGTAGAGGGTGGGTCAGAATCTCACAAGTACAGTGTGTCTTATTGCGCGGCAACACATGAAGTTGGCCATGCACCCTGCAAAAAGAGGGTTACCTCACCCGTCACCTAATTGCATTAGCCACATATAGCAGTAATTGATAATTACAGTAAGCCACTTGCACCATTTACTAGTAAAAATGGCTACCTAAACAATAGAAAACAAATTAGCTAAATAAGTTCAGAAGTATTTAGTTGTACATGTACAATATGCATTTACCAGGTTAAACGCTTTTAGTACTTGTATTCTTTAGTGATTAAAGATCTTTACTCGACTGATTTTTGTGCATACAAAATCCCGGCAGTATTATATAGACAATATTATATGAATCTTTTTTTAATTTCCTAGTCTTGTTTGTTTTCATCCTGATCCAAATGTCCTCCAGTTATTTTCTGCTTCTGATGATTGTAAAATACGAGTTTGGGATTTAAAGAAAAGCAGGTAATGCTATGATTCATACAGTCACTGTATTGGTTCATTCATTCACTCTAATAATATGTAGATTCTCCCTAAATACAAATTAGAATGTACCTCTACCATTCAGACTGCCATTCAGACGCCAGCTCCATCTCAACACAAAATGTCCAGAGATATATCTTTTTGCATAGGCCTTCAAAATGACTGATAGTCATTCATACATGAAGGGTGCATATTGTTTGATCATGGACTCCTGCATAATACCTAGTATAATGGCACTGCAAACTCCAGTATTGATTACTTAATTTAAACAACCCTCATCAATCCAATTTCTTATTGATATTTTCCTTTAGATGTGTTGGTATTCTTGAGAGCCATTTTAGTGTAGTGACGTCACTTGCCTTTGACTCGTCACTCAAGAACATGATAAGGTAATTATGAAGAACAATTGTCTTCTGTGGAACAAGGAATAGACAACACAACACTCATGCCACTCAATGCTTTCTCATAAAACATAGCATTTTGCTCTCATCACATTTTGGCATCACCTACATGTTGTATTAGATAACAGACACAWGGAAATATAGAATCTATTTGTTAATTAAATAATAGTTAATGTACAGTGTATTATTATTACATGTATATAACAAAATGTGTWTTGTTGGTAGTATAAATTGGTGAAGAAAGGAGCTATTATAGACTGTATAATTTAACATAATGTACATTTAGCATGCACTAATAAAATGTTCTGTTTTGAAATACATATAGCTCAAGCCGAGATAATGTCCTAAATATCTGGAATTTAGAATCAATTYATTTACCAGATAGAAAACCACCAAGAACAATCCCTTGCTTTGAGGTAATTGAAACATTGTCAGTRGTTATAACCCTACTTGAAACCTTTTTTATCAGAGAACAAAGASRAAAGCAGCCATTTTACATTTCTTGAATATCAYGTCATATAGGGTGTTGAAGCTGTGGTAATGTTGGACAAAGAACACTCAATTCCAGGAGCAAMTCATAATGAAGAAGTCTTTATAACTGCTGGCAGTAAAGGTTAATCATTCGTACTCTAACTATGTTATAGTTATAAAACAAATATCAGTAGCATCAAAATAACTGTATTTGAACTTGACTTGAGGTTAGAATGAACTCCCAGGGTTATCGAAAAAAAGATCAGATCCTATCAACCATTCCAAAATTCAAAAGAGACTGGAAACAAGCATGAAAATTGTCCAATAATTAAAAACTAACTTAACTATATTAAATAAATATTTTCCAAATACAATTGGTGCTATTTGTTTCAATCTCACTGAATGACAATTTTTTCAAATCTGCAACAGAAAAAWAAGAGAAAATGTGATTTTTGTAGATTCTATATTGTAGATTTTTTGCCATCACAGCAAATAGAGTCTCCCTATATTTTTTTTAACAGTTCTAATGTTATGTTTAATTCTGTTGGTTCAGGTGTACTAAGGTTCTGGAGCCTCAAAGATGCCAAATGTATTAATACACTTGCAATAAAAGAAGAAAATACTGATGATGAGGCAACTGTTCAGCATATCGTACATGCATCCATATGTCGTAGTAGAGGTCTTCTGTCTGTTGTCACCTATGATCACAACATTATCTTGTACGATCTGAACACACTGAAGGTTATCAAGCAGGTGAGTTATTCATGTAGCCAAATAAATTTGAAGAAATAATGTGAAACTATTATCCATGCCAGGAAATGGTTCATTCTTAGATGATCAATACTGCTGTGAAGACTTAGCCTATCATAGAATTACTTATGTGACTACACAGAGCTAATTACAGTATGTCTTAGCACTGACTAGTACTGTATTTAAAGTACTAAGGTCTATACTTTGCATGGTCATAGTACAGACACAGAAAGCCTACCATGATATATTCAGACACATAAAAAAGCAACAAAAGAAGTCCTGCTATATAGTATATGATTGCTATTAACTGTATTTTAAATGCTTGTTCAATTACTACTACAAACAGCTTATGACTTACAGTTCCTCTGACATGCTCGTTTTTTCTGGGTTTTTTTCTWTTGGTTGTGTATTGTTTGTTATTGTTGTTGTTTGTTTGTTTTTATCCTCCAAGGTGGTCACTTTTAAGAGCTTCAAATACTCAAACTGTAGTTTAGACCAAAAGCAGTTCCTTGTTTGGGTCAAGACAAAGTTTGTGGCTCTTTTGGAGACAAGAATCTGTTGTTTTGTTCCCCTACCACTTGGGCTACCATCACAATGTTCACTAAATTGATGTTCACATCTCTCTTCATGTCTTTAGCTTGTTGGCTACAATGATGACATCTTAGACATGTGCTTTGCTGGTTTCCAAGACAGCCATATTGCTGTAGCTACCAATAGTAGCCAGCTAAGACTGTACAGGATGAGTACAATGGATTGTAGAATATTATCAGGTCATTCTAATATCATACTTGCTGTAGATGTCAGCCCTGATGGGCACAAGCTTGTCACTGGTTCAAAGGTGAGCAACTYTATTATTAGCAGGTCTTTTGGTCAATACATGCTCATCATCTATTGCATTTTTTGCCAGGACAATGAGGTTAGGCTTTGGAATATGAATGAAGAAGATCACTTTGAATGCACTGCATTAGGAAAAGGCCACACCCATGCCGTCAGTGCAGTTAGATGGTCTAGGTACGTATAGCCTATAAATTATATAGATTATGATATATTTAATATTTGATATATTATATTATTGCTATAAGAACCATATTTCCAGAAAATGCAGTGAAATCCATTTTAGAGTAGACACCTAGACACAACTGCCCTATCAGGAGACTGGTGAACAGAAAAATGAAAATGAGGCATGGCCCAATATGTATGTTGGTTCATGTTATGAGCATGTACCAGGATGCCTGTTTTATACTTCAAAGTTTACTACTGGTACATTTATACAAAGGCTACAATTGTAGCMTTTGAGAGCTTCTTTTAGTGTTTCATCCACAGCACCTGTGTCAGAGAAAGTCAAGACTTATTTAGTATTTATATTTGATATGGTTATAAGGATTTCATTGCCAGTTTAAGCTTTTTTAATTATGAAGGTTTTTGATTAACTGATTCTTGAACTTTTCTTAGAACTGGAGATCACTTTGTTGTCAGTGGCAGTCAGGATTTGACGTTAAAACTATGGGCTATCCCTTCACCAAATAAGGTATCACAATATTGCAATCACCTGATGTCGTAATGTACTGTCCACAGATGAATATTAGATCCTCAATAGAAAAATGTCATTAAATCACTATAAAAGTTTGATACTAATTATGCTATTCATAGGGTGATATATCCAACATGGTGGTAAAAATTACAGAAAAGGCTCATGATAAGGTGAGARCTAGTTTCATTTGCAGGCTACCCTTTTGTCTGGCTTCCTGTCCCTCACCCTCTTTTGCGAAGGACAAGAAGCCCAAAAATGTGTAGGCTGGGAAGAAGACAAATTAAAAACAAGTAAATCATACATTTTTACTTTATGTACATGTAATTTAACACTGATATGTTAATGTCATTCAAAGGACGTCAACTCAGTGACTGTTTCTCCAAATGACAAACTCATGGCTACAGGATCACAAGACAAAACTGCCAAGGTGAATAAAATCATGATTATAGCGATACTCAATGTGACATAAGCCTTTGTTATTCATGTGCCAACCAAAAGATTGGTTGTTAGAACAAAGCGACTTGTGAAAAGCCATTCTGATCATGGTTGGGGCATTAACATAAGGATGAGTTTGTTGGTAAACATTGAGTATTGCTATTGTAGTGTGAATAAAAAAAGTGCAAAAAAACATCAAGTCATACTTTCAGAAATTTAAGTTGACTTTTCACTCTTGAATTTTTTCCACATTCTGCTTTTTTTCGACTGACAAGGTTAGTTTATGGATAAGTCATGTGAGTCCTGATAAAAGACCCCTTAAACATTGCTAATGTATTACTGCTTTTGTTTCCTTTATTTAAGGTATGGAAAGTCAAGGATGGGACATTGATGGGTACCTTGAGGGGCCATAAAAGAGGAGTATGGTGTGTTCAGTTTTCACCTGTAGATCAGTGCATTGCYACCACATCAGGAGACAGCACCATCAAGATATGGGCCCTATCTGACATGACATGTGTGAAGACATTCGAGGGTCACAGCAGTTCAGTGTTGAAAGTAATTTTCATTTCAAGAGGAATGCAACTTCTTTCAAGGTAAAAATATTGAAATGTTTGATAMCCATAGTGATTAAATTAAAGCAAAAAAGGTATTATACACAATGTTACAAGAAGACTTKTGTTTGAAGAGGTCCTTATTTATGTTACTTGTCTTAGTGGATCTGATGGACTWGTGAAATTGTGGACCATCAAGACCAATGAGTGCATCAAGACATTTGATCAACATAATGATAAGGTACGCTAACACACAATGATTGATTGACAGCAAATAGTCTTGGYACAATCATGACAAATCTTTCAAGGTTGCATCTTTCCCTGGCTCTCTATGTGACTATATGATTCAGCCTATCACTGTATTTGCATGCTTAAGCTATCTACATCATAATCAAAGTATTAGTCTTTTGTCCCTGCTTGTGTCACACAATGTAGAATCCAGAGTAGCTCAATAGTCTGGAGAATACGCGACTTTCAAAAGTGCCAGTAGTTCRTGAGTGCATATCATGGGACTAGTGACAAATTATTGAAACAACACCTAAAAGGCTTTACATCAAAATCACTAAATAATGAAGATGCCATGCATGCAATGGCAAAAGTTTGAAAGCTGTATTGGTATGTTATTTATAACAAGACAGCATTGAAGTTTAATATACAGTGGCCTTTGAGACCTTGKTTTTGTGCTTTGTCCCAAGTGCCCTGGTCAACGAGCATGACATATTGCGCCATTTTTGAAAGTCGCGAATGTCCAGAGGAGGTGTACTTTTTTATACAAACATATTTTGCAACCACAATTTTCATTGAAGAATAGACCATGGCCATTTGTCATAGAACACAGGTTGTAAACTCTAATATAAAGTACTACATATGCTAGGCTAACAGACAGGGCCTGGGCTTTCTGTGCATTTCTTTTTGACATGGTAAATAAACTCAGCCAAAATCATAGATCTGTCTACTATATTACAAGATATAGTTTTCAAGAAATGAGTACAATAGATTTATATGACTCAGGTGAAATGCTACGTTTTTTCAAGGTGTGGTCCATTGCAACAAACAAGAATGAAGACATAGTAKTGTCAGGAGGAGGTGATTCTGTTATTAATATCTGGAAGGTAATATGGCACATCAATATTCATTGTTTTTAAACAATGGGTCACAACTTTTAAGTTGTGACCCATTCTTTATCTTTTGAAATATCAAAGGACATTTTTCCCTGCCCTTGCTCTAAAGCCTACTATCAGGAAGCCCATCAGTAGAGTAGTCACCTGACCAGGTTTAGAAAGCTATACCTGTTCATTCTGAGCACAATCCTCTTTTCTCACTAGGATGTTACCAGAGAAGAACAACAAAAAGTACATGAAGAATCTGAGAAGAAGATTTTGATGTAAGTGAGAATTATAATGATAGCTAGTAGAATGAACCTCAAACTAGTGTTGTAAACCCAGTATATAGCACTCATAAGAACTACATTCAAAATCTTTGTTATTGATGCATTTTCTAGGGAGCAAAAGCTATCAAATCTCCTCCAAGAAAAACAGTTTACAAAAGCTGTAGGKCTGGCAATCACACTGGATCAACCTTTCAGACTCCTAAAGATATTTAAAGGTAATCTCCTGTTAATAACTAAGAGCTTTTCCAAATGAAAAATCACAAAAGGCATCCTGAATTCAAGAGTTGGAAAGATCTGCAGTGAATTCAGGAAATGTGCAATTGAGCAGTTAAAACACTTGAATGTATATCCCTACAGTGATCAAGGTTAAATTCCGAGGTTTTTCTCCTCCTCAGTCAAAACCCACTGTAAACAGCAGTCAGGATTGTTGTCARTCAATATTTATAGAGGTTGTGATTGCTATCCTTGGTGCAGTAGTTGTTTAAGCACCTAATCAATGTTGACATGTATGTTTGTTGGTTTACATGTAGACATGTTGGAGTTAGAAGAAGGACAAAACCAACTCATGAATACTATTAAGGACCTTAGAGATGATCAAATTGGTGAGTTATATTCACAGGGCAAAGGATGSCATCTAAAATATTAAAACCATTGCTTTTATAATAGAATTTTTCAAGGAAGTGTTACTCATTATCTTTGATGTTATGTTGCCATTACAGTCAAAGTGGTGGAAACTAGCRGTAAACTAGTGTGAGCTGCGTCGGTGTTTCTAAAGAAACAGTTTTGTAAAAAGATGAATTTGATACCGTAAAAATAGGTGCAAAAAAATACTGACGTTTCGAACGTTAATCCTTCTCTTAACATCCGAAACGTCAGTAAGTTATTTCACCTTTTTTTTCGGTGTTTAATTTATCTTTTTACACAACTTTGCCATGAATGCTCATCCTTTCCTCCATTGTGCTGGTGTGAATGAAT